TTCTTTCGGAGGACATCAAAATGAATTTCTCCTAATATATAGGATAAGTCATGTATGTTATTAATACATTTGAATAATAATATTAGGTCTGGAACATGTCTAAGAGATTCAAGTGTGCGTGAAAAGGTATGCGAACTCTGTAGTATAAATATTTGTATCCGTTCAAGTTTGACTATTAAGTATTTCTGCGGCGATGACCAGACATGAGATCAGTACTCCAGGATACTGCGTACAATAGAAAGCTACAGTTACTTTCAAACTCAAAAATCACCAAAAATATAACACGAGATCGAACATTTTAAAAGCGTTGGTAACAATAACAACAATGCGTGTACTAAAATTCAGATTCTGAGATGATAATATGATATCTAGGTATTTGACAGAGTTGAGTCTGCCAATGCGAATGCCACTATTTCTTAACAATTATAGCTGTTTCTTATGAAAAAAAGTTTCAGTTTCCATCGCTGGCACTAACGAGTACAGGAATTAAAGTTGTCTTGCACAACGTGGTTACAGTCAGTTTTTCTAATAACAACATTGAATGATTACAAATCGTCGGCACTTGACACATCTGGTCTGGTTAGTGATGTACACAACAGAAACCAATAGAAACTCGTGTACCCCGCGTAAGCACTTATTTGCGTTAGTTTAATGAGATGTTACGCCCTAAGTGTAAATGCGCTGTTCGGTTCATGAGATTATATATGCATGATTTCCATTTGATCATATAATACACGACTAACTATTGTTGTTGTTGCGAATACGCATAGCTACATTTGTAATCAATTTGACGTATATTCGGAATTGTCTGTACTTTTCTTATACCACTTTAAATAAATGATTATTATAACCACGGACATTCTAGAACGCCCATTTGTCAATTGGAGTTCATCTGGTTGGGTGAAAACGGAGTTTGTTTCTTTTTCTAACTTACGTATTACATAAAGTTGTTTTTTCTCATTTTCATTGCATCATGTAGGCCATATCACTCAAGTAAACGGTACCTCGAAAAACGTAGTTTGTACAGAAGGCAGGCATTAATAAATTAGGTAGTTGTTAAAAATAACTTATTTTACTTTTGTAGTGAGTTTCATGCCTTTGCCCGGAGGGGATTTCGTTATGCGCACGTGCCTACTCGTACCTGCGCAACTACACGCTAATAATATAGTTGGACGCAATTTTCGCTAAGACCTTGACTTGAAGGACACCTCAAACAATACGAAAGTAAAATTCAACACATATGAAGCTTGCTGTACAGTCTCACTCAGTTCTATTTACGGCAATGTGCCCCCAGCCTCTATATTAAATAAACTTGTATGCTTGCAGAAAATATAAGTTAAGGCAATGTACTGTGGCTACTTTATTTCCACGACTTCGCTATTTCCACTGAAAAGATGAATAAGTGAAAACACATTTTTTTTCCTTATACATTTGTTTGTTTTTTACTCAGCTCATCGAAAATCAGTGACAATAAAATTCAACAAAAACCAAAATGTATTTCAGCGAGAATTGATACCGGCTAAATATATAACTGTATTGTCTATATTGTCAATAGATCTCGTGAATGACCCTAGATGTGGGTCTATGACTCTTCTTTTGTCGATCTTTGTCTTTATGATACTATTTTATTAATAATTTAGTACATTTGGGGTTCTTAATATTGTTTTTTTCCTTCGGATATTAGAATTTTATCGAGACAGAAAGATCTCGGTCACTCTCATAGGCTTGCATAATATAGAGGTGTGACGAAATTAAATATTGAAAATAAAATTCGACAAAACACACTATTTTCTCGTATCACACCATCGAACTTTCAACAGTCGATAATAAATATGTTTATTGAACACTCGCTGACAAATTCTAACTGACAAAAAAACGCGATAGATCGATTTTAGGATTTAGGTCGTTATCACGTATGTAATTCCGGTGGCACACATGTTTTTTCAGGGCGATATGACGTCACTGTAGTTACCGGTAGTAGGTATTACTAGGGTAATTATGTACTCTCGACATTTATTTGGGAGGAATGCACAAAAAGGTGTTGTTCCACGTATCTACGAACATTTAAACAAATAGACACGATACCAACAAGCCTATATGGTAGCAGACAAAATTTTCTTGGCGTTTTCGCTGTTCCACTTCTCCGGGAGAAGTCCTACAGTGACGTTAATTGATAATCGTAAACCAGCGAGGGAGAGAGGGACACTGTCTTCTTTAGACTCCTACTGTAATGGCACGGTGGTAACACACGTTTCGAATTACACCAAGAGTATCTCTATGAGTTATAACGGTATTACATGCATGGTTACCAGTCTCAGGAGTATACGTGCGTCATGTTTGGAAAAAAAAGAATACATAAAATTGATATTAGCAAATTGCCATTTGAAGTCAATTTATGATTTACTATGATTTACAAAGAATTCTTTTGTATCCTCGGGGCGGACATCCGGGCATTTTCACCGCCTGGCAACCCGCGGCGGTGAAAACAAAGGCCCAAAACTCGCAGAAAACGGTACTTTGGGATAACTGTTGAGACTCCTCTGAACAGTGTAACAAGATTAGCCCTACGTGTGTAACATATATAAATTGGGTTGTTCGGGATTACTTCAAAGTTGAGTTTGTGTTGTTTTCTCGAATTTTCACCGGCTCGACCGGCGTTCCACAGCAGCGCGCACAGAGCCCATAGAAATGCATGTACAGTGGTGCGCGTCTTAGCAACGTGGAACGTCCGTGACGTAGCTCCGCCCCGAGGATAACAATGACATAACTATTATCTGGACAAATGGCAGGGCCTGAATATTCCCACATGCGAACGAAGTCTGATTTATGTGCTACAACATCCCCATTACAACCTGTTTTAGGAATTAAAACCAGGCACCACACTGGTTTCCCCTGATCATAGCCTCATATAATACTGTCACAATCTGTAATTAATTATTTATAAATATATAGTATATTCTGTTATTAAAATGACTTATTTTAACATATTTTTCATAACTTAGAAAAGAAACAATCTCGCGTTACTGTAACTGTTCTGCTAAATCAGTCAGCGATGAGGAAGATAGCATTACGAGTGGGCTGCTTGGTGGCAGATAGAGTTTCAACGAACAGTTCTCAGTTCACCTACTATATGAACGGGACAGCAGGAAAAAAGAAGTGACAATTTCATGCCTAAGATTTTATTAAGTGACTTTCCTTTATTCTGTTACTTAGAATATCCATATAAAAAGTAAGATCACTGTACTATTTCTTACAGCTTTCCGATTAGAATTGTTAATTAATGGAACTCACTACCTTTCTCGCTAAACTTTCCTTCAAACATATAAAATATAATTGTAGATATTTTGTTGCCATGCTACTCAAATGAGTGTTTGAACCATTAAAAAATAGCAATGCGATATTTTTGAATAATATTTGCCTTGGAAAGCTTTAGGTGAAGTGTATATTTAGTTCGTTATTGTGTCTCATCAGATTCATTCGTGTTTAGTAGTGTCTACTTCGAATGAATGAAACTATTTCACCGAGCCCCCTACAAATCTACTTCGTTATTCCATTTACAATGTCTAAAAAAGAAGTGAAAAGATTTGATGCGCGCCTGCTTATTTCTTTGATTGATCATTTTAAAATACACGCTTTGCATATCAATAGATGAATAATGGAGTAGCTGCATTATTATTTTTTTAAATGGTCATGACATCTTCTGTGACTAATGTTTTGACGTCCAGTAAATTGAAGATGATAGCCTCGGGTAAACATCTAAAGATGTTCTAAATATACCTCAAACTTAACTGTCTGATTCATTAATTATTTAATTTAAAAATACGTGATAATATGCATCACCACAGTGTGGGTTGTTAATTTTGGCCACTGTTCGAAGCATGTTCCATTTATGATAGAGTTTTGAAATTAATTTGATATACTTAAAGATTTTATAAAATAAAAAAAAGGTCATTTTAATTAACATGTGTCCACAAAAATCCTACTACATCTTTAAAAACAGGCCCTGAGTCATGACAGGTCATGACAATTACACGGACTTAGTCAGCATATCTTTTTCCTTCTACTAGTAACCACTCGCACTTAATATATTATCTGAATTATGGCAAAAAGACAACTTGAACGTGTCATTTCCTCCACTCATGGGTAAGCGTTCTTGACGCATTCGTAGCGACTATGCAGAGGAGGGCAAGGATTATTTTCGTTCAACGTAATTGCAATATTTTTTTGTTCGTACAACGTAAATAGAAAACATAAATTCCGTAATTCTGTAATCACAGGCTAGACGTACAACGTAATCATTCAATCAAATATTTTTTCGTACACTGTAAAAATGTGTAATTTTTCTCGGTACGTACAAGAATTTACATCCAAATAAAAAAAGTCGTAAAGAATAATCCAGGGAAATTACATTTTCGAAACTGTAAAACGACTAGATGACACAATTCACTGCAAAATTTACGTAAAATTTTCACTGTAAAAACGTCTTTTTTTCCTTGTAAATTGTAAAAACCCGTTTTATATCCCGTAAAACCGTACCAGCTACCTCCTTGCCCCCCTATGTACGTTTTGATTTCATTTACCAAACAGAAGTGAAACACTCGGACGAGTTAGTACGCGCGTGGTTGCATTAATTGGGTCGTTGAGGTACCTCGATTGAAAGCATGTACATTATATTCTGCAAGAATCCCTATGATCAGTCGAATAGTTTGCCATTGTGATGACGCCATTGTGTACTAACCGGCTTTCGATACTGAAGGGTGGACCCAATGCGGGCACTACATAGGGAGAACACGATTAAAGTCCTTGGTTTGGTTATTAGTCCGCCAGCGGCAAAACTCACTTGTTTGGCGTACCATAAGGTTATGTGTGTTATATTTGGATTTACGGCTATAATTGTGGGTACTTTGTGTCCGGGTCCCAGGTGCGTTCGATGGAACAATCGGCGGAACAGGTTGGGTGAGGTGGTGCGCGGGAGTTGGTAAGACAGAAACGTCCCAGAATTTTGTTTTGGAAAACTCTTACGTTTATTCCTTGTAGTTTATATTAAAATTGAAAATAACAATTAAAGTATCGGATAATATATATAATATTTTATAACATTTCGATACACTTTAAACGAAAATGTCGCACAAAATGTCGACGCAAGACAAACTACTCCTAAGCAGCAAATGAGTTGTAGTCTGTTTAAAATAAATTATTTGTAACGAATAATTGGCATTTGAATAGATAAATAAATAAAATAAACATGTTACTTGAAACAATATGAGAGTTGCATAGGTAAGTGATATTTTGAATACAATCTTGTTTTAAATTTAAGTTAATTTCTTGTAAAAATGTCACTATATACAAGGATCACAGCTCTTGATCGGTGTTTCCGGTTATCGACGGAATGTTGTTCATTTCATTGTGCGATGAAATTTTATCAGGAGTCTGGCGAGAGTTACATTCACTTGGAGTACGCTGGTGTCGGCTTAACTGAGACGCCTGGGTAAAAGACCTGTCACACTTGTCACACCTGTTGTTTAAAAAAAATAAGAATTATTAGTAAGTCAAAAAATATTCAAAACATCAAGTACATCGAAGTCAGAAAAATCATGCATGCTATGAATAAGAGAGCTCCCCCACCCTAACTCTACCATAACCATCCAATGCCCCGATTTTATTTGATTTATCTATTTTGTATTACCGGTAATTTTATTTGTCACCGATAATGGCCGTTGTAATGGTTAATTGTGTAATAATCGTTGTAGGTTTGTGCACCGAGAGCACATTGGGTATGGCATTTATGCCCATGTCATTTATTTCGAATTCGGGAATAGATAATTAAGAGCTTGCGCAGTATAGGTTGTTATAGATAATGTGCGATTGCTTCTAATCCAATCTCCGTCCACATTTGAACATTTGAGATTGATTTATAAATGTGTATGAATATATTTTTGAGAATAGACGTGCCTTTGCTGACTTTTAAGGTATTACACGAATTCGATATGCAAGAATTGTTGAAAATCATCAACACATCCAATTTACCTGAAAGGCTTTTCGCCTGTATGCGTTCGGATATGGTTGTTTAGCGTTGTAGCACCGGCAAAAGCTCTTCCACAAAATCCACATTTGAATGGCCTCTCGTTGGAGTGGGTCACAACATGGTTACGTAACTCAGAAGCCTGTAGATGTAATGAAATACGAGATCGTCGTTGAAATATGTGAACACGCGGAACCTTGTAACACCTTGTCTCATGGGGATGGAATTATCCGGAATGTGGTGCGGAAACCCACCACTGACTGATACGGTTTAAGTTTTTCTGGGAGACCAATTTACACGGTCCATTTGTTCTCAAACAATAAAAAAAACAAAAAAAAAAAAAAAACGATTCTGTGTATAATCAGACCAGCCATGTGTCAAATATATCTTGTATTTACCTGAGCAAATGAGCTTGGACAGTGGCCGCACTGATAAGGCTTATCTGGATTCTTGGGACATATGTGCATCTGTAGCATTATTCTTTGGGTGAAAGTTTTAAAACACTGCCCGCATCTCCACATGTTCCAGTCTGTGAAATCCGACCCATGGGAGATGGTATTATTGTTCTTGTTAGAAAGGGTTGGACTCACGTCGACCATGGGTTTGGAGTTGAACACACTGCCGTTCGGTGACAAACTGGCGTCAGAAGCTGGAGACATGCTGTCGTCACACTCCGTCTTGACGTCGATGATGTTATCGTTGGAATCAGCGCGTTCTCGGTGTACCATAGTCCTCTTGGTGACGCCATTGCCGATGAACGTGCAACAGGACGCGTTGTATGACTTCCCTTTCTCACCCAGTGGCGATGATGGAAACGATGTCACTGATAAATATAATTATAAAACAGAATTAAACTAAGTTAATACACTGCAACGATAATTTATTCCATCATTGAATCACTACTAGTACAGTTGTTTAATTTATTGGCGCAAAGAAAGCGAATTGAGCTCGTATGTGTATGAATTATTTATATCCTCTTGTAATACTAGCGTGATCACGTTTTCATGGGATAATCCACAACAATAATTTGTTTAGTCATAATCTCTCGGGTAATTCCATATCATTTTCCGTATTGTGAGGAATAATGCGGACGACATTATACGATTACTCACTGTCTTTGTCCGGCACCGTTAGCGATATTGGAATGCCCATGAATTGTGTGTAGCGGTCATCGTACCAAACCAACAATTCCATTCCTTTGTGAATTTCCCGACACACTCTAATTATGAGAGAAGATAATATATCATAAAATTAATACAATAAAATAATTAAGAGATCTCGGTTGACTTTTACAGCTGCACATGCCCAAGCGCTTGGTAGCTAGATGGGGGAATTTGAAAAGCATTACGAATAGATCGTCCCACACGGCTTCACAGCGCCTAGTGTTAGAAACAAAAACCTCGCTTAAGATAAAATAGCAGTGATGTAGACAATTTGGAAACAAATGAGGGTGGTGTGTAATGTTCTTTGTAATTTTTTTCGTCAAAGACACCTGTTTACTTTTCTCTTATGTCCCGACTTCGGATATGACAGATATAGTAATCAATACCGCATTTTAAATGCTTTTCGTGCTATTATAATGTACATTGATTGAAACGAAGAAAATAAATGAGGGCCGGCACGTGCCAAGGGGGTATACAATGTACTAGCATCGATAAGCTGATCAAATACAAACGTAGGAAATTGATTACGCGTTGAATGTGTTTTCTTTTCAAGTTCACTGAGTTCAAGTACAGTTTATTAGTCCTGGTGGCACCCGAGCCGGGTGCACAAGACTGCGCGAGACTGTTGCCCAGGCAGTAGTACACCGGGACGTAGCGAGCCAACACTTCAATTTGTGACCACGTTTATACCGTTGTTCGTATTGTTTTCTATAATGGATAAATATTAATAAAAAAATATTTCATTTGTTTGGTACATTCTCTTCCACTGTATGCAAGTGCCCTGGCTCATTAGCTTGTTTTCTTTCGAGTCCTCCTATTTCGCATATTTAAAATCTCGACTAATCACCAGGGAGTTAAGAAGTAAAAATGAAATGTACATATTGATTGTCAACACCTGCTACAATGAAATCGTCAACGGCCTCTTTAAGATCGAGTGTAATTGACGCGTTAAATATTGTTTTAGGATTATTTTTTTGTTCACTTCCGCCATAATTGTCTCAGTGCCGCTTTTTATTCATTGATGTTCGCATAAAGCGGCCTGTGGTCGTGTATCTCTGCTATTTACTTTCTCGAACTATTCGGTTTGAGGCGATTACGAGTTTAAATCACAGCAATAAACATGGGCTATAATTGAACTTGACGGTCTCTTTAAATGAAACACATGTGACGCATTCATCGACCGTGACACACTCTAACCAAAAATGTGGATTTGGGGGGGGGGGGTAGTGTATGTTGTCCGAAACTAGCAGTTCAAGAAATTAAAGCAAAACAAAAACTAGTTTCCAAAACGAAAAGAGTATTAGTACCACAGTTCTGACGTAGCGTCAATCAAAAAGCAGTCGTGGTTTGAAATTTATCGTGGATTGCTGTCCGATTTTAGTATCCGCCCGCAACAAAGTACACAGTTGTATATGAGTATGGCTTCTCAAACGGTCCGAACATATGCATACCAGCAAACCAGCAATATGCGTGTATTTTAACCCTCCATTGAGCCCCTTGTTTAAACACCCGTTCCAAGCATCGCGGCGGAAACGTGACAGGAAATCTTATTAATTTTCTGAAACAAGAGTAATTTATTTAATCTTGGGAGTAGCTCGAGGACTGCAACTTAAATGTTTGCCGTTACCCCCGGGCCCTTCGCAGTATTCGCATGTACGGGTTTACCCCCTTATGCAGTCAAGTTTACGAGCCACGGCGTACAGAAAGATTGAAATGGAGTTACAACGCAGCGGTGAAGTCGGAACAGCCATACCGAGTGAAGTTGTTTAGATAATTAAATCTCTAAAACGCATGCAACGTACCTGTAATAGATGATCCCATTATACTGCACAACGCATAGATTCTGTTCCCGTCGACTGCGGGCGCATCGGATATACCTCATCCAGCTTGATGTACGTTCGTTGGCACCGTTCACGAAATAGTCGACTTCTCCATCATCATTGTATACCTGAATCGAAATAACATCAAAACGAAGATAAATACATGTTCTATTGTGGATTGCTTTCGTAATAATGCAACGATGCAGCTTTTTAAGATTGTGAAGAACAGGTTTCGGACGACGTAATGTAGTTCATGTTGTTCTTGTGTTGTAAGTGACATTTTAATGACGCAGTTCTATTGACGGAGATCTGGAATTAATGAAATCGCCTGTTCCCCCAACATTCCCACAATTTTACAAGCTTTGAAGGACACGGTCAACAACTTGAACTTGGCCAAGTGCATGGATATCAAAACGTTCATCTCACTATTGGTAATCAATATCATTATTTAGATGTCAATGCACTTTATTTGTATTTGCCAAACGGCACCGCCAGGAATTTATTGTCGAATTTAATGTTACATATTTTTACAATCACGTTTCGGTTCATGGTCATTATCAAACGCATTATTAAGCTGTAAAAATCGCTCTGATGGAAGAGATTTCCAGATGATCATTTGTTTATAATTTTCTTACCTCCCATAAATGCTTAGTGTTGTTAACATTTTTTATTTCATCGGTGCTCACTTTTTCGCCCTCGAACGGGCCAATCCACGCTCCGACTGGTATTCTCTGCTTTGCACACACTCCGTATAACTCTCCGGGAATACTGCTCGTACACAAGGCAAACTCGTCTGGTAACGTTTTCACGGCGTAGGGAGTGTGCGTCATTGTTGGATCGGCGTTGACCAACTTTCGCAGAGAGTGGAGCGGGCCGTGCATTGGACATTCACCGCGATGACTTTCTTTGCATATATCACACCCTGTCGAAATAAAATTAACAGACTACGATTTAATAATAGCTAATCATTTCTGTGGGTTATTTGCATACAAACAAAACCCGTGTGTGCAATAGTAATGATGGGCGAGCTATTTAAGAAACAGCACAAACAGTGATGGTAGGCTGAGGACGTATGTTTACCTTTCTTTGAGCACGTCGGCAAAAAGTACTAAAACAGTTTAAAGACATGGGCATTGATATTTTACAAATAAAAATCGTAATTTCAAACTTAACTTGTTGTGCTCATGCATCGCTGTTTGGACTTTCAGACAAAACGTAATACAGATGTTAATTAGCGCGGTTAATTAGTGATGGTAATTAGTAAATTACGTGCACACTTTAGAACAAAGTGACAATGTGGTGATTTACTCACTGGTGATTTACTTTTCATTGGCGAAGTGAAAGGTGCATAATATAACAAATACAGCAACGAATATTCCTCATTTGTATTTTTCTGTGATTTTCACCATGCTGAGTGACAAAACACAACACACACCAGGACACTATCCCAAACGTGAAAGGATTTCAAAAGTTTTGAACTGAGTAAAATAAGATTGTGTGTGTGATATTTCGAGATAGTGAACGCCTATTTGAAGTTTTATTTCGTTGTGGCTTTTGTTCAGAGTGAAGTAGATTTGAAGATTTGGAAACAAAAACATTAAAATTCAAAAATAAAAATAAAAATAAAATAACAAGCTCAACTGCCTAGTGCGTTAAACTCTGGCCCAAACTGGCTAATATTTGGATTTGAAACAAAGAAAGAAACCAATTCATTATTTGTTATTCAACACTCGTTTATGTACTGTTTATAGCAAAGAACATACCGTATGTTCACCCGCTGTATAATTGGTTTCTGAAATTACTCGGTGTGAAACATATGATAGAAAATTGAACAAGCATGTATTCTTCCCACGAGACACGTGTTAGCCATGTTCTCGTTGTAATTCTATTGGAGTCTACCTCGCGATACACAATGGTAGCGTTGTATTTCGTGGTTTGGACACGTGGCGCGTTACCACCCCGGGCCCGCTAAGTTCCTGCAGTATGATTAATTATATTGAACATAGTTGTTACATACTAATCTATCAACACGACCGATCGAACAGAAAGTGTGCGTACTTACACAATTGAATGGAGTCGCTGCCGACTTCATCTTTAGTTATTATTGGCGTCGGCGGCGTTGTTGTTTTGGATGGCAAAGCAACTGGGACCATTTTGTTGTAACCGTAAAGGCAATAGTAAAGATCGTCGTATGTGAAGGATGTGACGTAGACGTTATTGTTCGTTGCGTATCTGCCTTTCACGTTTGGCATTGTAACGGCCCTTTTCTTGGCGCTGGTCACCGTATAGGGGCTGCTCGCACATACGCGCTGAAATGCCATTAATACAGCCTGTCGTAGTAGGTCCACTGAAAAAAAAGTGAAAATATAATTTTTAACTAACAAATTGTCAATGTCGTCATGATTAGACACGCATTTGTATTTTCATATATATATTTTTTTAATTTCACAAGCTTGAAAATTTGCGTGCTCCATGATGTTGAAAAGTGTTATCTGTGGAACAATAGCTGCATGAGTTGTGTTGACTATTACAGTATTGTTTCCATGACTATGTAGAGAGAACAATAACGGCAGCATAAGTTCTAGCGGGACCCCAGAAGTTCAAGCGAGACCCTAATCTTCCCCTCCAGCCCTTTTTTCTAGTTGACATGATCCATTAGGACCATGTGATAGGGACAATTCCCTCTACGCCCCTAAATTGCATGGCCCGACATAGCACCGATGGTAGTCACGTGTATTATGTTAGTTGCGATGAACACTAATCATCTTCCTATGCCAATATGTATTGTTAAGCTAGAATAAGTGAACTTGATTATACGAGTGTTCGTTATTATCTAGTTCATTTTCTTTACATTTAAATTTGAAAGCATTCCAGATTCCAGAATGCCTGCATGTGCACACACAATGTTATTGCGCTAGGCGCGGAGCCATTGATGGGACATGCGTTAATCGTGGTCAACAAATCGGGAGGTGGTCGTCGGTTGGCCGTTATTTCACTTGAAAATAAAATAAAATAAATAAATCTAATAAACTACTTATGCATAATTTTTAACTCCCGACTTTGATACATATTTGAAATGAACAATATCTTAATCCACTTTCGTTTAGTATCGCCCAGAAAGAAAAACACAACCAAGAAATAAAAAAATGTAACTTAGTGTATAGTACCTTAAATATATTCGCCTCGGACAAACTTGACACTGGAATGGTTCGGTCAGGCGAATACTAGCTTGATGAAAACACACTTTTGGGAAAAGTACACTCCTTGCAAACTTTAGTCTAGGAAGGAAAAAAAGCGAACACTTCGGCGTGAGCGTCGTCGACACTTTCGTTCGCCAATTCGATACTCTGACACTCAAGCGATATGAAGTCACATATTAAAAATTGGGTATTTCGAGCGCTCATAAAATAAGTCGGGGATGTTACGATGTGAAACCAAAAAACTCGTTAAAATCATCAAACGAATAACGACTGGAAAATCCTCCGACGAAGATGGACTGTACAGAACAAATTACACAGCGAGCGCATGGAATGTATCACTTACTTTTTTCACCCTACAAGTGTCAAATCCGGCAGAGGCTTTCTTGGGAGAGCCAACTGGACGAATGACCTGCAACACGAATGTCTGCTCTTTTTAAAACCCCCGATGAATGAAAAAGCTAAAAATATGCATTTTTTTCTAAAACGAAGAGCCGCGAGATCTTGATAGTGGTACTTCAGTTGTTATTCTAATTTTTAACGATGTCTCATTTTGCTCACAATGACCATACCCGCAACTCGTTGAATTGGCAACGAGGCTTGTCTAAAAGAGGGCATGTTGCAGTTATCTAAAACATAACCATTTCTCGACTGACATACGCCCGTCGCACGTCGTTAGGGTTGCGGTGCAAACAGCCTAGATGCCAGCGGTGGACCACGGCACTCGCCGCCCGCCAAATGGTTCACACTTGCTAGAAATAAACGACGTAACTGCATTCTGACAGGGGAGTGTTTCATTTCAGCAGAGAAGAAATACTCCACTTGAGTGCATCCATCGATTCTTTCTTTTGACATTTCAAACAAAAAGTTTGATTCCACCATAGTGCGATAAGGTTGAGAAAATCAGACAAAAACATAACCTAAAATTGTCCTAAATTAAATTTTCTTAAAACATAAAGTACGTTCAAAATAATAAAGCCAATGAGCACACATCCAGTCCAACTTGAACGGCGATCCCAAAGACAAACAGAACTAATCCGGTAGTTTCACTCCGGTGTTGAAGGAAAACACACGTTACCACCTAATTTGTTACCGTCATCACCTTCTCATGTCAACTATTGACGAAAATAAAAACAGGGAATTAAACAAATAAAACATATATAACATAATTACTTTCTAAACGCTGAAATCCGATCAGTTGTCATATAGCAGATTTTTTGAGGTAATCGTTAACATGGTTGGAATCACGCACGGGGCTTGTCCTCTTGTGATTATACCGTACACGGACACTGGGATATCAACTACGACCGATCACAAAACGGTTTATCACAGAATCTGAATGTTGCGGTGAAATCCGGGTGCTGAGCCGTAAGCCAGCATAGTCATGGAAAGCCGCCTCGGTGCAACATCGCAGTTAAGACTATTTTACAACTGCGGATCGGAATGTCCCAGTGATCGGTTTAGTTGACTTGTTTGGCGAAGGTGGCATGAGTCTATGTGACGGTTCGCAGGTGCCGCTCATTACGGTTCATTTATCGTGTTTTCCCCCCAAACGATCGAGGTGCCTGGATACCTACTTCTACCGGGTATCCACGCTCTGTTGCACTTTAAAAATAATATTAGCGCAAAATAATGAGAATTAATTCTTCTAGTTTCATTTTGCGTCATTTGGCACCGTAATGTTGATTACTCGATGTCGAAGTCAAATTGACCTCTCACTCGGATTCAGAAATACACATATTTTTTATTATATACTGGCTTCGTTCTGTACACGTAGGAGAGGCAAAGATTGAATTACTAGTACCCAGCAGTCTCGGACGAAAAAGGCGTTATTTTGCATATTCCGATCATTATTTATATTTTGTCAAAAAACAAATAGAATATTTATAACATTAAACAAATCCGTTTTCGACAATATTTTTGCCCTACCTTGAAGTTAGTATATAATCAGTCGTGATTGAAATAAGCAAAGTTCTACTTGAATACCGCCACCACGCATGAATTCTAAGAAATCTCAGTAGAATGTTCATGAAACTCGTCGAGGTACATTTAACATGTAATGATGACATAAACAACAGAAACTCGGCTGTCGAACCTTTTTTTCGCATAAGTAAGTAATTAAGAATATATGATGACAAGCTACCATCATGACTGGTCAGGGATTCGGAGATCGAAAGGTGTAAAATGCTTCTATGTGAGCGCAGGTCTGCGAAACCAACACACTTTAAGTCAAATCTGGTGATAACATTTGCTTATTCAGTGAAAATGTTCCAAGATTCTATGTTTTATCTAACCCGTATTCTCGAAAATATATACAATTATCGAAGAGACCAGCCCAAGGTGTTTCTAATATGCTTGAAAAGAAGCTCTAAACAAACAGACAAAAATACACAAAAGTGCATCCATCCGAACGCCACAGCTTTCTTCTCATATCATGTATATACTTGAAGCGACCATACGGACGAATACTGATCACGGACAGCTGGCGTCCGTGAAAATCTTCACGCACAGGTTTCAATCATTGTAATAGCGTTGTTGATAAGTGGCGGACCGCAGTCGTAGAGTAGTTTACCAGGATCAGCGAAAATCAAACTCTAATCTTTTCCTGATACATTCTCTGTCATGTCTACCATGTAATCATGTACGGTATAGTCTCCATGGTGATGACATTCATGATATTTCCGAGTTGCTATCATTTCCACGCCTTAGAACAACTCACAACATACTCAGTGGTTCCAGAACGTCTGTAGCTACGGGGGCCCCGTGACTAATTGGTCCCAGCAAACTGTGCAGTTCGAAGCCCCATAGTGGGATAGGATGGGGCGTTGTGGGCGTTGTTTGGTGTGTGTGTGTGTGTGTGTGTGTGTGGGGGGGGGGGTCAAATAGTGGGGTGTTGGGCAGTTGTGTGGGTGTGAAATAACCGTGGCTGTAATTTTAAGCTATTTACGTTTACTGACCCGTGCATTACGGGTTCATTCAAAATATGCGGTGGTACATTTTTCTTAGCGACAGACCAATGGACTCTGTACTGGCCAGTGCCACGTATTATCTAATTTGCCTCACAGTGATCTGGGGGTTTACAAATCTTATGAAATCAAAACGTGCTTAAAGGCTTATTACCCGTGCACAGTATAATGAGGACAACGTGAATGTACAAAAAATAATAATAATACCTTCAGCACGCGTATCGCGGTCACATTGCAACCCGCCTCTTAGTATTCACAAATGCCAGCCCACAACATATTATAGTATGCGTGGTCGTTTGTTGCATGGTTTACATTGTTCTTAGCACAAAATATTATCAGATCAATTCTACCACGTATCACAGCAACATATCTTTTTTAATTCGCATCATTCGTGTATACTACCTCAAATCACTACATATACTAAGTTGTATAATTGTTTTTTAAACTTTGACCGCGCTCTGCATGGCGAGTGTGGTGTTTTAATAACAAATGGCGCTCCGTTCGTTGATAGTTTTGTAAAGTATGGCTTGTACACAATAGACTAGGTATAGAAGCCTGAAAAGTAGACTAACAATTTCTTTTTAGAGATTAGTTGCTTTACGAACAGCATGGTTAATGTGGCTGCACCGTACCCTGATCTAGGGAAGCATCTATTACTAGTATGCATATTCCAAATGTCATTTTTTGTAATGCCATCTTGACATTTTAATGATTTGATTAATTAACAATTAATAAACACTTACACATTCGACTTTTTAATTGTTTGACTGTATAACAAATGTATCCGCATCTTCTTAGCCCCTGCAATGTGACCAAATGTTTAACTTTACAACATACCTCATTCCACATGGAATGTGCTTTTCGCGGCTCTTTTTGCAAAATCAACGAAAATCTGAAAGACAAAAAAACAATGCTTGACATTATTGTACCGCTTTGTATTTATGCTTTTTGTTGATGTGTGTCACTTTTTCCTCAGCTCTATGAGGGTGAAGGGTAAAGCGTTACGGATTCTACTTGGCGGTATATTTGTTGTTATTAGTCCCAACAACAGAAGCTAGGACAGAGAATAGACATGGGGGTTATTGGTGTGAATGAATTTATAACAACACAGAATCATATCTACTGTATTTCAACCAGACGGTCTAACGCTCGCGGTGCCGGGGATAATACGGAGATAAGTACAACAATGATTATAGTTACAACGACTAGGGAATTAAAACAAATTACATTTTTGTATTGCTTACTTTTAATGTATTATAAAAGAACCATTATTAAATACAAAATACGCACCATATATACAGTGCATTGTAGGGCAACATGATTCGTAACACTGTGACGTCATACGACCAGCTCACTTTTTATCTATCAATGAAAGCCACATGTCATGCACCGATACCATTACGTATGTTCGGTCAAGTTCACAAGATTCATCAATTTCTTAGAGTTAAAAGTTCCGACCACTTGTTCCCTATTGTGAATTCATGATTTGCCACCGAATACGGATTGAACACATTTACTCTAAATAAAGGCGTTAATCGGAGGCGGCAATTTTCTGTTGACAACACGATTAAACCAGTAATATTTGTTGTGTTAGTCAGTACGATACGAGCACCGAGTATGCGTGATTTATGTAAATAAAGCCAGTAAATAACAAGAGCCTGCTAGTTTACAAACCCGATTTCATACTTCCTATACGCATACACAACCGGAGCTATTTTGTCGAAACGTTTTAAGGAAGGCCGCTGGCAAAATACTAACTAGTTCAGCTTTAGTCACAATCTCTGTAACGTGGTGGCCGCTAACTTTGAGTGCCGGTCGGGGTCGACCATCGATGACCAAACTCACCGAATACTAAAATGCTACTGTAAAACTTATTTTCACTTGCAATAAATTTCACTATTTTGATGTTTTGAGCAATTTCATTGGGTTATAAGTTCACAAACATAGCAGGAAAACAGTGGATTCTGTTGTTATTTCACATGTTTAATTAAGCGAAATTTAAGTTTTAGTAGCGAAACTGAAAACAATGAATAATTAATGTTTTACAGTATGTTGAGATTGTAAAGTGTTGGTATATTTTAACTCTGAACACTAGTAATTACCAATTTCAAGTTTGTATTTTTATGTATTCAATATTCCAGCGAAAAAATCAATTCGCAAAAATTCGCAATCGGCGGGAACTATTGAAGGTGATGTTAAAAAAAATCAATTAACAAATAAAATAAAATAACGTCAGCGTGATTATTAAAAGGATACACCGCCACCGCATGGTCATGATAACTATTTGAAAATTCAAAGACTCAGTTATCGCGCTTTATTATAATACCAATTGGTAATAAAAATCACGGATACATATAGGGGACACACACAGTACCGCGATGTCCGGTGGTCTAAGTTGTGTCTGTACCGCATTAGTGTTATTGATGTGGGC